GATGAATTAAAAATTATTTTGATTCTTTCGAAAACGTCAAATTATTTAACTTTCTATATTCATGTGCTTTCCTATCAAAACTTTCTAATGTAATATCTATTTTAGACATTTCAAGATCAGCAACTATTATTTTAGCGTGTTTAATGAAAATACTAGATATATATTCAGAATGTGTAAAGAACATGATATTAAATGTTTCTTATAGTATTATCATGATACACTTAAAGATGCTATTCATTATCTTATTGAAAAATGTCGCCAAATGTGGTCCAATGAAGGTTTTATGTTACAACTATTATGCTACGAAAATGAGTTAATAAAATCACGTGAAATTGTATTAACTTCTGATGAAAACGACAAGTTTATCAGTACTAATGTTTCATCCTTCAATAATACGAAAAATTCAATGAGAACATTGGAAGAAAACTTCGAGAAGAGAGAAGAGATATAACTTTTCACGAAAGAACAACCGATTGAATTATTCAATCCTCTATACTATGCGAAAATTCGCCATCAAGTAGTGGTCATATAAACAATTCTTGATGATTATATTTGCATGTGTTTTTTTAACTACTTTATATTAATTCAATAAGAAAGAAATTTTACATGCCCATTTGATTCCATATTCTTCTACGATGGAGATGAGAACAATTAACTATTCGAAAAACATTTTAGATACAAAAATTAGGTCTGTGTCTTGAATATTAAATCTGTGATGAACACGGTTCTGTTCGCGAATCGAGCCGATTGATTTCATTTGAAGCTTTTCAAATTGATCTCAGTTCGATTCCGTTTTTACCTAAATTCATGGGATTTAGATCAGTAGCTATACATGTGAAGCAAGAAAATTGATTAGAAAACAATTATATAATAAGTAACGATGAAAGTATTCGTGTAAATTCTCTTATCTTTCTTCAATAATGTAAAACATAATTTTTTCCAGAAAAACAATGACAGTTCATAGGATTTTGAAGGCGGTTTGCAAGATTAACAAGGCGCATTAATCATTTTAGTTTTAGTTTTCATTAATTTTTTTTTAGCTCAGGATCCGAAAAACTAGACATAGATTCGATTGAATATTATTATGTCCACTATATCTCTTCGTCAGCAAGGCGAATGTGGGTGTGCGACATAATTCAGTCTCATTTCAGCTATTTTTTCGTTTAAGTTATAGAGAAAATAATTAAACATTCATAACTATAGTTTTGTTTAAATTTGCAATAATTTCTTTTTTGGAAAGAGAAATTGCTTGTGATATGAATCATCAGCGTATACTTTAACTTTTCTTCTCTAGCAAGTTGTTATTTTTCTTTGTTCGGGTTACTGAATTCACAATGTGAAAACACCTTTATTGACTATATGATAGTTGCAAGGTGCTTATAAAAACAGCGTTCTATGCTTTCGCACATGATTAATTTCCAGAAAGTGGTGATGAAGCAGAGATCATATTTCATTTCTCGCCGATTTCTATCATTATTATAATTAATAAAGTTATTCTTAAATACATTTCATAATCATCTTTTGCCATAGTGCTGAAATTGTCTTAGCTTCTTTGGTAATACTTGTTGATGCTCTTGAGTACTGAGATTACGCTTTATTTTGTTGAAGTTGCAAAAAAAAAACAACTGGTAACATGCAACAAAGTGAGTCATTCTCTTTTTTGTTTTTAACAATTTCTCAATGTAAACGCCGGTAACTATTTAAATGTCCTATAAGCAAAAATGTCGCCTATGTCATGAAGAATGAAAAAAGAGAAAATGCGAATCTCAATCCACTGTTATTTTCTCTGTACAGATGATTCAAGTAGGAAAAAACACACCGCCTCTTTGTCAGCCAATCAGACAAATACTGGATGATGTTTGCTATGATTTGCACTGGTAGAAAAATAACAAATAAACACTACACTGTTTTCTTTTTCAGACAACTTCTGTAGCATTGTGAGCAACCATGCCGAGAGAGCCAAAGCATCAATATAATGTTACTTTTTCGATTTTACATGTGTATTTCATTATATTGATACCTTGTCTCTCAGCATGGTTACTCACAATATTATGGAAACTCTCTTAAAAAGAAAAGCATTGCATTGTTTTTTTTGTTATTTTCTGTCAGTGTAAGTCATAGCAAACATCATCCATCATTTGTCTGATTGGCTGATAAGGAGACTGTATGTCTATTCCTACTTGAGTCATCTGCACAGAGAAAATAGAAGTTGATCGGCGCTAGTAGTTTCTCTTTTTTCTTCTCGATTAATTGAAATTAGTCGATCTTTACTCTCTTTATCAGCATTTCTAATTCTTTCCAGCAGTTGGAGAGGCTCAGAATTTCATGATTATTTAAAAAATACAGTTACTGAAGCAAATCAATTCATAGTTCTAAAATAAAATTCACATGTTGACATGTGTATGAGATAGGCTGAGAGAGAGGGGTATTCATTCTTCTCTCTTTATACTTTGACATTAATGAGCAGTCGATCATTAGAAAAGCAGATTTGTGAACTCCTAGATGTCATTACGATGCATGACTTCTTTACCTGCCAAACGCTTTGACATTCAGAATATGAAAAAAATCAAACAAGTTAGTGAGCCCAGAAGTTCAAAAGAAATCTGTAGATCCGAAGTTCGCTTATAGCAATTATGCTAGTACCACACTTTTTTGTAAATTTCACATTTCATCCTTATCAATAGTTATAATCGATCGGTCACTAGAGATAAAGAATCAAGGTCATAATTTCCAAATTCAACACCCACACCCATACCCTTAAGAATCCATTGCCTATCCCACATATCGTGGCAGACAGATGAACAGAATGGATATAGTTGTATATATTCGTATATTTGACCCTCACAGATAATGTTATTGATATGGCTAGGATCTTCATTTAGAGGTAGAATGGATTCATCGTATTTCGCCTTTTAATTTAGTATAAATAACGCTGAAGACTTGTTTTTTTTAATTCAGTTACATTACAGCAACTATTCAATTATATGAGGCATCCGATGTAAAACTCATGTTCAGCTTTATTCAACAAATCTTTATTTTATTTAGATATTTGCATTAGAATGGCTACAAACAATGAATGTTTTACATGTCGTCAATCGAATAAAAAGAAAAGAAGTAGTGTCATCTGTACTGGTTGTTCTGAACGATTTTGTCAACCACATCATCAAGAACATCGGCAGTCGCTTGAAAAAGATTTCGATCGTCTTATTGAACAACATAATGTTCTAAGGCAACGTTTATTCAGTGAACATGATGATCAAAATAGTGCAAAATTAAACCTATTGAAAAGAATTGATGCATGGGAAAAAGATATGATAAAGAATATTCAAGCAACAGCTGCTGCATCCAAAACACGTCTAATTGATATGATAAATGAAGAAAAAAAACAATTGAAAAATAATTTTACATCGATGGCTAATGAATTACAAGTAAATCAATCAGGCAATGATTATGTCGAAACAGATCTTCAAGAATGGCAAAAACAGCTAAATGATTGCAAACAAAAATTTGAGCAATTTCTACTTTCAAATAATAATTTTCTTGATATTTCTATCAAACCAACCGATTTCGAAAATATCATTAGTATCAATCGAAGTAATGACATAAAAATAAGGACAAGATTACCCACTTCTCAAACCAGAATGGTTATAAACGAAAGAAATATAACTTGTAAACACTGTGAAAGGTATTTTCCTAAAAGTTCAGGACATGTCGAATTTTGCTCAGCCGACTGTTCCGAGAGATATACAACGAAATATTCAGATGACAATAGTGATGACGGTGGTGATAACGGTGGTGATGGTTGTTTTCATGAAAATTGTGTTGTATTATTGTCAAACGGATTAACGAAGCTTGTGAAAGATATTCGTCGAGGTGACGTTCTTCGAACTCCAGATGGTTCAGAAGCTACTGTTACTTATGTTGTTAAGATAACGTGTGCAAAAGGTAAAGCATCTATGGTTACTTTTGATTGTGGTTTAATTATTACCCCATGGCATCCAATACGAATTGATGGCAATTGGAAATTTCCTCGTGATATTCGTCATGAAAAAGAAATTGAATGTCAAGAAATGTACAATTTCGTTCTCGACAAATGTCACATTTCAATTATAAATGGTCTTGAATGTGTCACTTTGGGACATAATTTTAAAGGAGAAGTTATCGAACATCCATATTTTGGAACGGCAAAAGTTGTGGATGATTTATACGCAATGGACACATTGAACACGGGTTTTATTGAGCTATTACCAAATTCAACTATTCGAGACAGTAAAACAAGACTAGTAACAGGAATTCGTAGGTTCAATGAAAACTTCCAAATGTCAACGCTTCTTTCGTGTTGATATTGTCGAATGGCGAACATTTTAAATTCAAACAAAAATATTCTCTTTGAAGATTGACATATGTGGTTTTTTTCTGTCAGCTTAAGTCAACATGATTAATTAGACGTTTTTTAATAAAGAATTCTTTTTATTTTACTCTTAAAAAAGAAAAACGTGTGTGTGTTTTTTTTTCATTGTAGACATGATCGTTTGCAAGACATACTACAGAACAACCTGTGCGTATAGAAAATTGTCAAGAATTTTGGAAGAATACAATTGAAAATTCAAAGTTTCTGTTAGGAGCAGAGTTCTCGATTAGCCGCCCTTCGCCCAAAGTTCAATTTTCTGTCAATGTTTTACAGCTTCGTAGTAAATTTGGATCCACGTCAAATTTTGAAACACCGTTTTCCTTTCTCTGACAGGAAGTCAAATTAAAATAAGCAGACAATGTCGTTGCGAGGTGAACAGAATTGGGGAAGGGACTGAGCCATGATGGATTTCGTTTTTGTCCCGCCTTCGATCATCACGTCTAGAACTCCGAGAACGAAAGTACCTTCTGGAGAATTTTTTAGTCCCTTCCACTGCTAAAAACTATCGATAACCCAGGAAACTTCCAACACAACCGTATAAATCAATTTTTTTTTCGTTTCAGAAAATCCTCAACAGTCTATTATCTAAATGACAACTGATCATCATGAGGTATCAAATGCTAATAGTAACGTAAGCATTGCCGGTGAAGATCCCTTACATATCGAAAATAAATCAGATTTAACTGAAACACAAGATTACAATGATTCTTCATGGATTAATGATGACTGTAAACATATAAATGACATTAATATCCAAGAAAAATTTAATAAGATTTATCTTCAAACATCGAATGATGTACAAAATGCAAATATCTTGTGGAGTATTGATGTAACTGTTTATCCTCATATTGGTTATTTACCTTATCTTTTAATAATGAACTTAATGTATAAATCAAACAAAAGATTGACACTCATTTCTGATATGCAGAGTTATATTAATCAATCAGATGAAGAGTTTACTGAGCATGATTCTAAAATGATATCTTGCTATAAGATATTGAGCAATTTCAATATTGGTACTATTATGAAATTTGATGATATTTATTATACAAAAGATTATCAAAAAAGTTTTTTGCGTGTATCACATTCAATTAAAATAGCTGAGACTATTGAATGTGTGAGTAAGAAAATGCCAATATCAATTGATGTTAACATGGAATCTACATCACATTTGATTTTTATTCTTATAATATTGAATAATATTATTTATTTTGATATATCATATGTACTTATTGGAGAACATGAAGTATTACTATATGAATTTATTAAATCATTATTATTAGATAAATATGGAAGAACATTGAATATTTTAGAAATACCAATGTTTCCTAATTTAACGGAAAATAAAAATAATTTTCAATCAATAGAAATGAATCAAATTTTATTAGATTCTTCTCTATGTCAAATTTATGATCAAATTTTATGTTTAAAACCTAGACGAAAAGCTATGATTTGTAATTATTTTAATATTGTCAATAATTTGTTTTTACATGAACAAGTATCATTTAAAAATAATATGAATTTAGTTGATACAATTGAGAAAATGAAGAAAAGAGTTTTACACAATAATTGTCCTATATATGTGGCTGCAAGTTTTCTTACTGATCAATTTTATGTTTTAAAAAAACATTGGAAAAAGCATACGAATAAAAAAGACTCAAGTACTGGTACAGGAAAAAGTTTAGTTGGTATAGAAGGCAATCAAGAAGGATTTGAATCTCCATTAGGAGGAAAATTTATAATTATAAATTGGATCAATAAAGAAATTGTTTATATGTTAGATCTTGATGCACCTGCTGGATTTTTTATCGATTCCACTCATTTATATATTGCAAATAATCGTTTAAATTATATAAGTGTCATTGATTTAAACACACGTATTGAAATTCGACGTATCGATAATCGAGCTTTTAATTGTTTACATAGCATTCATTATATAATAGAAAATCAAACTATTTTGGTAACTAGTACAGGTATCGATGCTATTATTCAAGTAAATTTACAAGGTGAAATATTGCACGATTGGTATGCTACCGAACATGAATATACAATGACGCCAAAAGGTGAACAACGAAATGTACTAAGAGATTTTGATCATCATCATTATACTTACCCTACTCTTCATCAAACAACCCATGTTAATTCTGCGATCATTTTGAATGAAGACTATGTCTTAGCTACATTGTTTCATCAAGGTTCACTCGTTCAAATCGATCAACGAAATGGAAAATCAAAAATCTTACTCTCAGGACTTAATTGTCCACATGGAATTAAGCGTTTTAAATCAGTAAAAAAACATAATATTGAATGGATGTTATGTAATACAAAACAAAATGAGATTCTTTTTCTAAATGATAGTTTTAAAATAACTCAGAAAATGTTTTTCGAAGATGTTCATTGGTTACAAGATGCATCACAAATTCATAACGAAAATATTATTATTGCTGATGCTAACAATTCAAGAATTATTGAAATAGATCCAATTTTGAATACTGTTATCAGTGAATTCAATTATTCGACTGATTGGCGTATCTATCAGATTAGTGATCTTACCGATTTTCAAACGAGTTTTATTCCTAATTCAACCTGAATAAATAAATTTTCCTGTCTATTCGTTACACATAACAACTATCTGTAGCAGATAAACCATTTTTATTTATGTCTGAATGACAAAAAACAGTTTAGTTATTTTCTTTCGAATAATCAAAAAAACATCACATTGACTTATCATATCGTTTATTTGAATCATATCAAAGTGTTTGCTTGCTTCCTTCATTGCAAGTTCATAGGAGAACAAACCCGAAGATTGTGTACGAAAGTAGAAATGCAGGATTGTTCGAATTGTTGACTATACTATTTTTTTCTCAATAGATATAGTACATGCAAAATTCGTTGTGTTTCTTACACTACACTTACAATGGTAACAAGTTTTGAGTTGCTACTAACGTTAGTTCATTCCTAATCAATTATTACAACGACTAAAAATCACCGAATACTAACGATTATGGTGCCGTAAACCGTAAAATTATGGCCAAATGCGAACTGTAAATTAATAATGTGGATGTTGACGTGAAGTGTGTTGATTTGTATGTCCATTAAAACTTATTCTCACACATATCTATTAATACCCAACCACACACATTCACATCCATCCAAAAAAGTATTGTGATGACTCAGCATGTAAACAATGATGAATTAAAATCAATGATTCATTCTAGGAAATAAAACGGTATTGCACAATAATAGTGGGAATGATGCTATTTGATTTATTCTCTCTTCGTACATATAAATAAAGATGAAATCTTGCATAATACTGCATACCAGAGTAGTCAATATGTCACTACTCGATCGTTTACCGAACGAAATCATAATATGTATCTTTGCTTATTTAAAACCAGAGGATAAATTTCACTCATTTTTTGATTACAATGAGCGTCTACGAAAATTAGTGAAACGTTATACTACCTACAGTCGTCTTGAACTTGAAAAAGATATTAACAGATTTTCAACGTTGCATAGTTGGTACAAACATTTGGACTACATTGCTGATGGTGAAGCATTTTATATAATACCATTGATAGGTGAACAACCACGATACAGCTTTGATCCACGTATTTCTGACTATATCGGTATTCATTGGCATTTTTGGGCACAGGATACTGTGCCAATAGCTGATGAAAGAATACAACGAATTATTCAAAAATACCCAATTAAGCTTAATCCGTCCTTTTATCCTTTTGCTTCTTATGCAGGATTACTGACACCTGGATTCAAGGATTTCATTTCTCGACATTATCCATGTCAGTTTGATATATTGAAAACTAAATTATTTAATCGATCTTGCACAACCGATCAAGAAATGCTTGAAATTAATACTGATGATGTCAAGAATGAATTGAAATATATCTTTGACAATGAGCCAAAGCGTTTAAAAGGCACGATATTGGAAGCAGCGGAATGCATTTGGAAAGAATTACAGCAATTAGAAGATGTAAATATACTTAAGATGGAATGCAATCAATAAAGTGCAGGATACGTGTAACGAATCTACATTAATTAAGTCTTCGTTCTATCTTCAATACAATCGTCGAAAATTTTCGGATCTGTTCAAAGACCACATTTGTCACGGTTGTTACTAATATCTGATGATGTCCTATAAACCGACCGAAAGTTTACATTAATTTTTCATAAGTCATGATGTTTACCAATTCCCAAACTCTTAACTTCTGATCTTCAACTATAATCTAAAATTGAATAAAATAAATACTATCACCAATTATATCAAATTTATCTCGATCTAATGTTTCTTTGAATCATCTCACATGTCTCTATATTCTTTCGAATATCATGCAAACTAATTATTTCCAATTCGAAGCTCAAAAATCGACACATTTCTTTTTCATCGTTAGAATAGAGTAGATTGCTTTCAAGATCATTCGCTTTGTCTGTCGGATGTGATTTGTTTTTGTCGTTGTTATTTCTTCGATAATCAATATCAATTTTATGCTGGAATTATCGTATTGATACTCGATAATGTATGATCCAATAGCATATAGTCGAGTTTGACACCCAATGATCAATTATTCTCAGCGAACATGAGTGCAAGTTTCACGATAATCACATTTGTCGTGAATTTGATTGTTAGCATTCTCGCTGTTTCAATGTTTCCATTGATATAAGTTTTTTAGATTATTTTATGTTATAGATTAAAATCGATTTCTTGTTGCTGTAGTTTGATTTCTAGCAGCTATTGTTTGTTTTGTAATCAATTGGGATCTAATTACTATTATATTACCATTATGCAAGTCTTTTTTCTATAAACCTACTCGATATACTCCATAAACCGAGAAGATTAAAAAAAAAGAATTCAGCGAAATGTTTCTAGATCTATAAAACCAGGGTATGAAGACTTAGATAGATTTTTCATGCTCATGTTCGGAATTAGCATCGTTGATAACCTACCACCATACACTAGTTTTCGTTGGAAAAGTAATTATCTAGTTGAAAATGTTCTCGCGTCATAAAGACAAAAACCAAACGAACTAATTATATCTTAATTGGAGAAGGGAATTTATCCGAAGTCATGTGTTCCTTTTTTTGATCATCTAGACGTCTAGTAAGAGCAGCATGTTTAATACTATATGAATATTTCTTGCGTATTAACACGAATAAAATAAAAATATCTAATTAAGAAAACATGAATTTATATGAGTGCATTGAATCTCTCGTCTTGATAGAAGATCCAAGGATTTTTATTATAAGAGAAGAGATTTACATGATAATCGTTTGCAATAGATTCAAATAAGTTCAAAAACAAAATTTGTTTTTCGACTCATTTTACTGTTCCTTAATTTTTTTATCAGTTTCAGTGTGGTTCAAGTTTTGATAAGCTTGAAGTGAGCCTCTTTCTGCATTGTATATTCAATTTTCTTTATAATTTATTCCACATTCCATATTGCAATTACCATTATATATATAATAAGAAAAGTGGTATGCTTTCTTTCAATGTTATGCAATTTAGAATACACTTCAGTTTATTGAATGAAGTTTTTAAATCTAGTTATATCATAGTTGTTCACTAAAATTTAACTTACATAATCAATTTTATTTATTTATATTTTTCATTAATGAAAAAGACGAATATTTATAGTGTATATTGTAGATTTCTCTGTCGACTGTGTGTGATAAAATTTAACATTTTTAACCCTTATTATTACAAAAATACAATCATCGTGAAATTCCAAAGAAAAATTTCGTTGGACCGAAACGGTGATGATGAAAAAGACATTTTTCACCTTCAAGTCTATCTGAAAGATCTGAGAAACAACAAACATGATAGTGATTATTATATCGAATGTAAAAGTCTCTTGAAAGATAAGATTGAAAGCATCCAGCTACATCCTTACTTAGTGGATTAAGTTCGATTTGATGCTCGCGATCATTGTTTTCCAAGCTGTATCTCTAGTGAAAATTTTCCAGTAGTGAAACTCCTCGTGATTTTCCATTATTATCAATAGTAACCACAAGATTACATGTTATAATAATGATTAGTGCTTCGATGGAGAAATTATTTAGCTCAGTTGCAATGGCGTTTATTACCAATCGTATCCCATATACAGACAAATTCAACATACTTGTCAAAAAGCAATGAAAAGATCGTTCTGTAAGTTGGACGCAGGATAGACTTTTACCCTACTAGGATGAACTTTTTGATGTTCTCAGTCTTACGATGATTGTATCTTTGTAACAGGAAGGTTTATAAACCTCAAATTCTATTGTACAGCAGATACAGACACCTACTTGACTATCAATCTTTTTCATTAATGACAAATGTAAATAGCTAAAATTGATTTTATGAGTCAAAACTTAATGAACAATCTTTATTCAAATGCTTTTTTTTTTTTATTTAAATGTAAACTTAAATGATACAACATAAACTTGATTTTAATACATAATAATAAGCATCCATAATCTGTTATGTAAGCAAAACAAAATAAAAGCATCCATTTTTGTCTTTACTTATTGATTTTAAATAAAAATCATTTCTTCATTATCAACTTCAACTTTAATAAATATTGCATCATCTTTAACATAATTAAATTTTGTCATCGTATCCACATCGACAAATTTAGGACATCCAAAACTTGCATTTCGTTCTGCAACTGGTCGATTTAAAAATGGTTTATTTTCTTTACATACATTTGGTTTAACCGTACATGTTATATGACGACGATTATTCACATCTTCACATTGATCAAGTAATGTAAATGTTACACGATGTGAAAATGGCCAAGCTAATAAAGAATCATATTCACCACGATGAATACAAATAAATAATGAAACATATTTTCCTTTAACTAAATTAAATGAAAATATATGTTATCATGCATAGAAAAAACCTATTCACCTTTTCCGTCTCCCCATAAACAAATTGAAAGTCCTAAATGGTAACTATGACGACTAGTTAAAAATACTGGACTAAATAAAATTGTCTTTTTATTTGTACGAGCCTCTTGAAGTCTTTCCTAATGAAAAGAATATATTATACGAGAAGAAATTTTTCAAATATGCAAATATCTATACTTGATAATGATCAATTTTCCAAATAAATTGTGATCCATAAGTTTTTTCCAATGCATTTATTTTTCGTGCTAATAATTCAACCCATTTTTTCTGTTCATTTGAACGTTCTTCATATAATTTTAATAATTGTTTTTGTATTGATATTGTTTTTCCGGCCATATTTAAATGAATACCCGCTAAATCTTTTATATGCTGAGCAATAGCTGTTCGATTAGCACGATATTCACATCCACAATCATGAAATGGACAAGGAATTTCTTGTTTCGGACATTCATTATCTAAATGATTTTGAATCTATGAAAAAAATAAAAGATATATTTTTTTTATTTAATAAGCTAATTAAGAAAATGTGTATTGTTTTTTTGTTACTTGTCCACGTGAAAATTCTTGTTTTGAACAATGATTTGGACAAGGAATTTTAAATTCAAGACAAACATTCAAATGAGGAATTTCATCTTCAAATAATATATTTGTTTTACCTTAATTAATAAAAATAAAATAATAATCTACAATCGATTTCCTAATGAGATAAATATTTTTTTTTTGCATACAAAATTCACAAGTAGTTGTTCGTTTTGCACAATCTTCATTTTGATGTTTACTTAGAAAACGTCTTTCAAATTTTGCACCACATCCAGCCAAACAATCAACTAATATAAATCCACATGTTTCAACATGAACTGGAAAATTTCGTAATACTCCAAGCCAATCACAACCTTTTTCTTTATTTGTACAATAAACTTCTAAATTTTGAATTTCTTTTTCTAACTCTTTATCATTCACCATTTTATCTTTGGTTATTGGTTGTTGACAAGTCGGACAACGTGATGCAACACTAAAAAAAATAAATATTTAATTAATGAAAGATTTATTTCTATACCGTATAATATCCGGTAGACAACTTGAACAAATATGATGTCCACAAACTTCAAATTGAATTGGAAATCGTAAATAATTACTACATGATGAGCATCGATATTTTGATTCGAGTTCACCATTTTTCCATTTTGGTTCTAATTCAGATTTTCTATACAATAGAAATTTATTGAACAAAGTTTGTTTAAATTATTTCGATATAATACAAATGAAATCAAACCTGTTAATAGGAATATATTTCGAACCGTTTTTAGACATGATTTTTCAGTGATCTTTATTATTTTTCCCTTTTTTTTTTTAATGAAACTAATGGCACGTCATACTATTCAACTTAAAATAAATTTTATTTCTATTGAGCTACTCGAATATACCAGCTGTTAAATAGACTGAATATATTAATACAAAACACAGTGAATTTATCATTAAAGTAATTTTTATTATTATACGATAGATGAAATAGATTTTTTAAATTCTAGAAAAACAATAAAGAATTATTTACCGTCTGGATAAGGCTGCTATTTGATTGAATCGTCCTACTGATGAAGATGAACTACGTACTGATAACAGAGATCCATCATATACAGGAATACTAAGCGGTGAGTCTGTCATCGTCGTAAATGAGTTTTTTTTTAATAACTAAAAATTTTCTTAGATGCGTGAATAAGTCTAGTTTCCTTTTTGAAATAAACTTTTTTCTTAAGTAATTTATATAGTACTTCATATATTCATATCTTGCTTCGGACTTTTTCTCTTTGTATTCATTCTATGAGTTAATATAGAAAATAGAATTTATTAAAAGAAAACATGTTTTCAGGACACAAAAAAAATTGTTTTATTTTAATTATGAGTAATCTGTTTTTGAAAAAAAAAAACATGCCTTAGAAATATGTAAATAAATCGTATGAATATATATTTATTCACGTAAACATTACCCGTATCAAACACTAAGAAAAGAAGAAAAAGACAAAAAGAATCCATTCAACTGAAAATATCTCCTCGAAATATATTACAAAGCACTGAATGAGCAATGATACTGTATCGTTATTGACTTGTCGTTACTTCAAGCTATCAACAATTACGTCATGATAGTTGATCAATCTGGTATTGTTGATATATTATATACAGTTGAAGCGTAATGTTTGTAGATCAAGAAGAAAAATGAATTTGTCATTTCTTTTGTATTCTTATGCTTAATCGAACACACCAAAAGGACAAATCTATATAGAATTTTTCAGACTCATTATTGGTACAATTGCCAATCATATTTATATTTGGACATATTTTCTTTGATTATATTTTTTTCTTTTTGTTTTCATTCATAATATACGATCATAAACAAAGTTTCTTTTGTTAATTTTTGACAAAGACAAAATACATAGCTGTTGCTTGAAAGAACAATAATTAATATCAACACAATAGAGAGTATTTAAATGAATTCTTTTTTTTTTTTTTTGTATTTTATTTTGAAGAGGAGAAGAAGAAAAAAAACACACAAACACATCAGATCAAAGACGATAATAAGTTGTTTTCTTTCTTCTTCTTCTTAAACATTTATGTGATTGATTAGCATTCAATATCTATCTTAGATTTTCATCTTCGTTCATTATTTAAGTAGTGTATTTAAAAAAAAAGAAAAAGAACAAGAAAGATAGTTGATAGGGAAGAACACAAATGAATATTGCACTTATTCTTTATTAGACTTTAGTAATAAGTCATGCTACTTTTGCCCTTTCTTTCTTCTTCGTTTTTTTCCTCTCGTCTACCTTGACTTGATGAAGTGTGACTATCAACGCTCAGATGCTTATCTATTAAAAAACTGTACTTTTTTCTTTTTTTTTTTTTTTATCGAATGCATGTTTATGTTTATTAGAGGCTCTCCTGTTTTTTTTATACAATAATTATTATTGATCGATACGATCAATATTGTCAAGGCAAGATGGATTGTATATTTACATATGTCAGGTAAATCAAAAGTCATTACACATTTCTTCTTCGTTCTATACGCGTGTGATAGACTCTAGAGAGTGGAAGAAAAGAAGTAAAAATGACGTAACAAAATATAATTTTCGTTGTTCGTATTAGATCCTTGAGAAGACGCAAAGGTAACGACAACCGCAATCTCAATAGAAAAAAAAAAGAAATAAAAAAAGTGATTATTTTATACTTCTCGTTCTCTCTTCTTCTTTTTTTGCTCTGTTACACCTTTAAAAACTGATTTCCCACCGTAACCATTACATCAATATATACATATATTCTGTTCTGTCAATACCAAAAATCACGGTCAATGTGAGTAAACGATTTTGACTTTTTCTTTAACATATTTTTTTTTATATGTTACAACTAAAATTGACAAGAATTTGTCTATATCATCCATACATCAGGGATCATTTTCCTTGTCTAGCTAAATAACTAGAACATTTTGATCGAATCCGGTTGCTCTTTATATGCTAATCAAAACAGTCTGTGCGTCGTTAAGTGTCTTCTTATTCTTCGTTCGCTGTCAGTACCAGTTATTATTTTATTGAGAACAAATCAAGAACGGAGAAAAAAAGATTATGAATGAATGATTCTGTATATATATATATATATATATATATAATAATAAAAAAAAAGGAAAAGAAAGATAGACGAAGAATAAGAAAGATAGATCGCCATTCAGTTTTTTTCTTCTCATTTGTTGTTGTCAGGATAAGCAAGAATAGAGTAAAAGAAACCAGATGATGATATACGATAAGAAATATCTCTAATCGAGATGCTCGACAAATAGAGAGAAAGAGCATGGATGACAAGCGAGTTCTTTTTCCTCTATTTATTTATCGTCTAAAGATCATTTATTGTTGGCACTATTAGTAAACAACAATCAACATTCAATTTCCTGTATAATGTCAATAAAATCGACAAAACAATACTTTCGAAAGGTAGTATAGAAAAATGTACTTTAGCAGTTGGAAAAAATATCATTATGAAATTCTATAGACGAGCATGCGCTCGATTGATGATTTTCTATTATTTGACAGACAGTAACAGTTACGATTGTCTATAATGAAAGTTTTACGATGTCTGTCATTTGACTTCTTCTCTTTTTTTGCACATCTATTCTAACACATTACAATCAATATCATTTTATCAGCACATGATATAATATTCTATAAACCTTGATATATGCTATTAAAATTTTTCTTATTTATATTTAATTTATATATATATATATATATATTGCTTTTTATCATTATATAAAAATTAAATATTTTTTCGTATATTTAGAAAATGGCTCCACATTGTTTCGATTTAATTTCATCATCAACAACAATATCATCATCAAGTTTATCTATTCCAATTGTACCATCATCATCAATAAATGCAAATCATACAGGTGGTCATATCACATGTGTTATTATTGGTGATAGTGGTGTTGGAAAATCTTCCTTAGTTGTTAGTTATACAACAAATGATTTTCCTACGCAATATGTACCTACGGCCTTTGATAATTATTCTGTTGATGTTTCTGTTGGTACTCGACTTGTCCATTTCGATATTTGCGATACAGGAGGAAAGGTAAATAGATAGACTATAATGAGACTCATCAAAAATAACTTGATTGATGTATCGAACTTTTTATTATAATAATTGCTTTAAAACAAACCAATCTACTTATGAAAATATTCTAAATCTAATAATAAATTTCACTGTCGAGAGCATAATTCTCTCAATGTTTGAATCTCAGATTATTGATTTAATTATTCTCTTTGTTTTCTTCTAGGAACAATTTTCATCCTTACATGGTCTTTGTATCCCATATAGTGATGTAATATTACTTTGCTTTAGTGTTGTTAATCCACAATCATTTCAAAATGCAATAACATATTGGTTATCACGTGCTCGTCGTTCCAATGGAAAAATTCCAATTATACTTGTTGGTACACAAATGGATTTACGATCTGATTTAAAAACATTATTAACACTTGATCAACAAAAATTAAAACCGGTGACGGAAAAAGAAGCACGTGTACGTGCACAACAAATACATGCATGTACTTATATTGAATGTTCAGCATTAACAGAAAAAAATTTAAAAACTGTTTTTGATACAGCTGTTATAACAGCATTGGAATTTCGTGATGCAAATGTAACATTACCACTTCCACCAACATCTATTGTACCATTAATTGAACAACAACATCAAACAAATAATAAACAACGAACACGTCATCGTACACATTCAACTAAAACTTGGAGAAAATTAGTATCGGGATGTATTGGTGTTTAAATTACAGATTATTAAAATATATATTCACATGTGTGTTTGTGTATTTTATTGCATTCTTTTTTTTTTAATCTCATTTTTTAATGTCTTGTAAGAGACTAATTTATTTTTGACTATATCTAAATCATGTATTAAGAGCAAAACTTGTTAAGATATTGAGCTAAAACATATTTTAACAATAGTAAACTATTGAAAAATAAATAAAAATAAATCTATGTTTTACAGTAGAAGTACAAATGCATGATACTGTTTTTTTTTCCGCATAAAATGAATGAAAACATCGTTATCAAACTCAATCGTATTAATATTAATCATATTGACAAAATTAATAGATATTGATGGAAATATAAGATATAACAAAAAAAAAACAAACGTCTCATACAAGCTTAGCTATTTATTATTGCGTTCGAGCAAATTTTTAAATACATTTAGTAATGTTTCTTCATTTCATATGTGAATTTTTCTATATATACAATACTGTACTCGATTTTCTAGACGATTGTTTGCACTGAATTATTTTTTTTTTTCTTACATAGTTGTTCTACAAACAATTGAATTCATATAAATAGAAAGAAGAAAGCACAAGCTATATTTTGGTAATGAAAACTCTTTAAAAGCAAATCGCCTATAAATTAATTTGCCTATTTTAGAAGTAACAATGGACAATGTTTGCATAAATTCTTTGTCAATTTCCTTTTCAAATATCACATTCAAAAAGAATCAGTCATTAGAAATCTTTCATAAAATAAACCGTCCAAAATCGAAAAGCATCTTTCGTGAAACTTTAAATTATTTGTTCTTCTTATATACTGTTTGTTGCTTATCGTAAAATAGGCCGATTACTTTATAGATGATTTGCTTCTAAACAATTTTAGTTATCAAAATGTAGCATGAATTTTTCTCTTTCCATTTTTATAGATTCAATCGTTCTTAGAACAACTGTGGAAAAAATAACTCAGTTTAAAAGATCGGTCACAAACTTTTATCTAGTATTGTATGTAGTTGATAAAATCGTTTCAAGCATTCTATTAAACTAAGACTAATTTTAAGACGATCTTGATCCCTTTTCCGAGTTTCTGAACAACGACTCATTAAAAATATTTCAAAGTTTCAGAGTAGATAAATCTCGAGAGGGTTGCGCAAGTACGAGTACAACTTGTTCCACTCGTTTGACAGTTAACTATGTATCACCTTGTACCACCATGTACTACCCTGTATTGGATATATGTATTGATATAATATGTATACCCGGGGAAAACCTAGAATTCATGCACCATACTGTACCACCTTGTGGGTGTGAGTACATGAAGAGAGAATTCAGATCAACACCCACCCCAAAAATCATCTGATGATAAACCAAGATGTTGAGCTTGTAAAAGTTCGATAAAACAAACAGCTGAATCCTAATATAAAGAAAATTTTATTTTAGAAAAAGAATTAATTTTTTTTCTTGAAACATACGAGATTAACTAAATAATAAAGTTGTTCACCACTTGGTTGAGAAAAATAAATTAAAAAAATAAATTTGATCAAAATTTTCAGATTTACGAAAAACTATAAATGGTTTCTTGAAATTGTCGAGTTTGATTGTTTTTGACAAATCATTGATAGATTCGGCTTTCTCGACCGCAAAAATCTTAGATCTAACTTTATAGAAAATCGTTATTTTCGAAAAATAGTGTCCATTCATAATGAAAAACTTAAGTTCATAAGGTTACCATTATCCATCATTGTTATTCACCACTTGTTGATCGAACGGTTACCGGCGAAACGGCTGTCGTCATCGTTACATCTTTATTATTAAATACTGATGATCATATAGTAATCATAATATATTAACTAACAAAATAATCATTGTAATAATCGGATCTGAAAATCTATTCGTTCTTTTGTCCTCATATCTTAAGAAAAGAAGTTTTAACTAGACTAAATAAAAGAGTGGAGTCAATAGCAAGAATTTCTTTTTTCTCATATAAATTTGTTTTATATTTTAATATTGGATTTAATCAAATGTAATTAGTAAATTGGTTTATTCGAAATCACTTGTTTCATACAAAGGATTGTCCAGAAATATTATTTTATTTATTCATGTGTTGATGGAGAAATAAACTAAAAGATGTTTTTTCGAAATGACTGTATATAAATCTCACTAGCTCATCTAATAAGAAAAATTTTTCAAATAAAAATACAAACGATGCGAGTAAGAATAAAATAAAAGCTCAGAATAATTGGTTATAAAGTTCTAAATGAAATGATAGACAAAATGCATCAACGTTATAAATACGGCATAAACCAATTGAGAACACCTTCAAAAGCATTTATGATGACTGATTATTGTTATAATGTTTTTTTATAGTTTAGTAAAAATCCATTAGTTAAATAATAACAGACAGTATCGAATAATTGAATTTTCTACTTGAGAAATCTTTCTCATCAGGGAACCTATCCAAACCTATATATAATTACTCGAAGTGTATGCTTTACTGAATCTTTTCTATAAACAAAGAAATACAACTAGACTTTTACTAAAGAAATATTACCCAATACAAATTGAAATAGAACTTTTGGGTCATCACTTGTCATCGACTAAAAACAACATTTTCACTAGAATTTTAAAAATTTTCTCTAGGAAAATATTCAAATAAGATGAATGTAGTTCTAAAGCCAGATTTGAATCGATTCGGCAGAACATCGTAGTCAATTAAGTGGACATTGATGTAGTTGTTGTCGAATTAGATGTGGAAAACAAGGTGTGTCAGAGCGAGGAAAACCGATAAAGTAGATATGAAGCGAAACAAGTTATTGCAAATGATCAACAAGGAAATAGATAATATTAAGAATAAGTTTTGTAGATTTATTTTCACCATCAATAATACGCGACGGTCTCCATTGCCATCCATCATATGAATCATAGATATTAAAGTCAACTTTTTTCAAATTTAGGTAATTGATTCGACAATAATCCGCAAAACTGTTGAGCATTTTTGAATGTTAATTTCTTATCGTTCATGACAAGTGTTTGTACCTAATTGATAGATAATCTAAATTATGACAAGAGAAATAAAAAAAAAACAAATATATCTTTGTTATAGAAGTTCAAACGTTTAGAATAATCTCTCTTCTAACATTAAATTTAAAGAATTGAAGAAAAAAAAGATTTTCATAAAAAAAGAAAGGTAAATATCAGTTAAAACAATTTTCAGACAAATTTATTTCAAATTTTTTCTTGTAAAATAAAAAGCTCTTACTTCTTGATTGACACGAGTTCCGAGATTGTCAATATTATATAATATCGCATGGGAAAAATTTCCACTTTCCTCACATATATCTAATGTATGGACATTATAAGCCATCCGTAATATTGATTCTAGTTCAGCTGTAGTAACAACATCACCTTCATCGATTGAAATTTTTGTTAATAATGACCATGGAACTAATGACGATATAGAACTTCGAAAATTACCAAGCTCTGAAACACAAGTCTCCTTCCTATAATCAATCAAGAATAACTCATTAGCGCGTGGAAATAAATGTACTGCATTAATCGGCATTTGACAAGATCTAAATAGAAAGAAAAGATTTTCATAGATCATTCACACAAGATATTTTCTACATACTTTTCCAAAGGTCTAGAGAACAGATATGTTGGAAGTATTCTGTCATGACATGGTGAAGTGAATACCGTAAAACAATAATAAGTACGACCGAGATCAAAATTACCACGTTCTTGAATAAACACTTTCGGTCGTTGTCGATTAGTAAATGGAACATTAATAAATGAGTTGAAAATTATTTTTTGCTTNGTTATATATGGTATTTTCTTTTTCTCTTTCTTTTGCTCTGCTATCATACATAGATGACGAGTAGATGCCTAATTCGAGTTTGAATATAAATGGAAAATTAAAAAAATAAACCGTACTCACGTTAACCTGTTGGATACCGCTGTCTTCAATTGAAGACAAGCAGAACGAAAGAATTTTTTTTTCGTTCTGTCGTATTGATAAACAGCTGTGAAACGAAATGTTCATTAATGTGCCTGTATCAGTCCACATTTCATATAGAATAAAATATAAATGTATACAGCTGATTTACGATAATAGGACGCAAGAGAGAGTGATTTTTTGATTTTTCTATAAGATCGTAAAGAACGCAAGAATTGTCAGGATCCAGGAGGTTAAAATAGCAAAAGATAAATGTTATATAAATTATAATTTTTAAATTCGACAGCACTGTTCAACCTGAAAGTTGAATTCAACTATCACTTCAACCCTTCAAGTTATTCCATAGAGTCCACCAATGATACACTTCGCTGTGTGCACACAGATGTGCATGCGTCGCGATATGGTGTCCATCGAGCGAAAACCATTGCAGCGAACGGGTTTTTCATCGAAAAAGAATGAGCGAAATACATAATAGCGAAAGTACATCTCAGCGAATGTCCGTAACAGCGAAAGATAAGACTACGAAAGGCAAATTAGTGAAAACTCAGAGTTGTGAAAAATAAAAACAGCGAATGGAGAAATTAACGAAAATCAACATCGCGAAAAGCATTTCACCCATTTTTTTTCTTGATGAGGTTCGATTATTTATGTCTGACGATGAATCATCATGGTTGGTGTGTATATGGATGTTACCTCTTGCTCGTTCTGCTCTTTCCGGCATAATCTATTTTGTTCATTTTTTTTCGATATATATTCGTCCGTAAGTGATATTATGTAGTTCGGTGATATATACACCATTCATTTTGTTCACTTTACTAACCAGATATGGCTGATTCAACAATAATCTCTTTTACAACTTCAAATCGAGGCAAACGCATGCTCGTTTATTCAGGATATGTTTATCGACTAAAAAGGCCGACGGTAAAAGTCAAGTACTGTGTTTGGCAATCAAATGGTTGTGCTGCCAGCGTGCATACAAATACAAACGATGATTTTATCAAAGCTAATGGTCATCATCGACATATGCCAGCACCTGAACGTATCGAACTTCGAGATCTGAAAAATAAGGTCAAGGACAGAGTACAAGGTGAAACAACTTCTGTACCAAAAATTTATGAAGAAGAACTAGCTCGTTCTAATCTCTCTTCCGTTGCTCTCACTCTTGCACCACTTACGGTTGAAGATAGTAAGTTAATCATCTATTGTAATTTTTAATGTGTCCATGTGCTTTGTAGAATCTACTTTAAATCGTCTTCGTCGAAAGAAAAACTCCATCGTCACCTACATCGATTGATTTTGATATTCCTGATTTTTATCGACAAACACTCAATGGTGAAACATTCATTTGTACCGACACGTATATAAGAAATAAAAGAATGATTCTATTTGCTACTGACAAACAACTTGAAACATTATTCTCATCTGAATGGATTTTTCTTGATGGAGCATTTGATTCATGTCCGGCACAATTTCAACAACTTTATACAATTCATTTTTTAAAATTCCATTAAAGTGAGTTCTAGATTATTCGAAGTTTCTAGTTTAGATTTCTCGTTTAGATTTTCCATATGTTATTAGTCTTCTTTCAGGGAAATCTACTGATATATATCAACAACTATTTTCTGAACTTGAATAGCATGGTAAACGATTAAAGATGAAGTTTGAACCACGTCATGTGATGTCAGATTTCGAAATGTCCTCGATTAAAGCTGTTAAACAAAAGGTTTGTGTCTTCTGAATTTATCAATAACTTTATTTTTGGTTTTACTAGTTTCCCATGGCAATGCATCATGGATGCTACTTTCATTATTGTCAGTCTCTTTATAAACAACTTCAATTATGTGGTCTTTTAGTAGCTTATATTGATAATGAAGATACACGTGTAGCTTGTCGAAGCATGATGGCTCTTGCTCTTCTACCCATGGAACATGTAGAAGAAACTACGAAACTTCTCGAAGATAATTCACCTACAGAAATGGCCGAATTTTTTAAATACTTTAAATATCAATGGCTAAAACGAGTGCCTCCAAAATACTGGAATGTGGCAAACCTCGAATTTCGAACCAACAATTTTGCTCAGGGTGAGTTTGTATTTTTTTTTGGAAATATGTATCTATTTTTTGTCACATAGGCTGGCATAACAAGTTTTACAATCGTGTTGACAAATATCATCCGAATATTTGGCACCTGTTCAAATGTTTAAAGCGCGAAGAATTATCGTTTCGACAACAACTGGGGAAAATAAATAGTGGTATGCAAAAAAAATCGACCAATACAACCTGCACCACCCGAACACAAGTCGAAATTCTCTTCTACAATCTGATTGAATATTTTTCCATTTAACTATAATAAAGATTTCGCTCTTTTATATTTCGATATTTTTACCTTTCGCAATTCGCGCAAAAGCATTTTCGCTGTTACAACCTTTTTGCGAAAAAAAATTTCGCCGATTGTGCTTTTCGCCCATTTGTTCTTTCGCTGATTTTGTCTTTTGCTGAAAGATTTTTTGCTAAATTATCTCTTTGCTCAAAGCCTTTTCCGCTCATTTTGTTTTGGCTGGTTCCTATGCGCTAATCTGCCACCATACCTGAGTCGCGGCTCTTCGGGGAGGGGGGGGGCGTGGCTGCGCTTCTCCACGCCGCGATGCTGATACAAAACGTTAGTTATGCGGGCAAAGAGTTTTCCCTCATTCAGTTCTGCTTTCAGTGGGATTTGCCTTCCTCTACCCCTCCCATATTCTCTCTCCCACTCCCCTAGTTTCTGCCCCCCCCCTTCCCCAACATTTCCTCTCTCTCCTCATAATGTGTCTCTGAACCCCTGCCTATTTCTCGAATACTTGAACACTTAAATTCAACTTTCAAGTTTGGCATGTTTACGAATTCATAAATTTATAATTTATATAAAGTTTATCTTTTGCTATTTCAACAGGGAAGTGATTTTTCATTTATTTTCGAAGTTATAGTAAACACTTAGCTCTCCATTTATATTCGAACTCGAATTAGGCAACTCATATAGATGTCACGTACAGCGAATGTTCCTAATAAGAACAACGCTGTCAGTGAAGCAATACTTGTTCATTTTTTTAATAATTTTCAAGAAAATAAAGCTCCTTTTCTATTATTGAGTACAGAAATCTTTGTATTATCGAATGATGCCAAAATCATTTAATTACGTTGAAAGCTAGCTGAGAAATTAGCAGTAGTTTTCAAGTAACTGAATTTATTCTTATTAGGAGCATTGTTACTTATTCGAACAACAGGCTAAAACATGTTCTTAAGGCTGCCCCCACCTCCAAAGTTGCTTTTCGTTAAAAAAATGATTTTTGAGATAAACATAGGAGTATGTCGTCTAAGGTATCTATATTACAAATATATAATAATATCACTGAATTTCGAAGATTTGCAAGGAGTTTTTAAAACAATTCTTCAGCTGACTATGGCAATTATTATTTTTTTATATAATTTAATTGAAGCAGTAGTTGATCTTTTCATTAGATATTTATTTTATTTAAGAAAAAACAATCTATGATTGTTTTGAAACTAATTCATCACCACCTGGTTCATATGCATCTTCATCACTTGAAATAATACTATTAAAATAGTCATCACTATCATCATCTTTACTATAGCTACTATTGCGATCGTCATCTTTTTTATTATTTCAATCAGCATTTGATTGTCAGTTGCGAACGGTTGTTGGTGTTGGTAGTACAGCTATATTTGTAATGTTGGCTACGAACTTTTTTCCATATTCTTGGATGTGGCTCCGCCTTCTTTTTAGATCCCATCTGAAAAATACAATATGCGAAGTCGAGACCTTAAAAATACCAAATCTTTAGCAAAAACAACTATTGAGCACCGAAAAGTAGCACCGTTTTAGGAAAGCAAGTGTTTAGAGTACTGAACACAAGGTGACTAGGAAAATATTGCCTGTATGTATAATGTATTGATATCTATTAATTTCTATTCCGAAATAGGTTTTAAAAAAAGACAGTTGTATAGTAGTTATGGACTGTTGTTGCAATGACCATTGTTATCGTCATGTTTGTAAAAGAAACTATTATAGGAAGAAAAAAATCGTTAAAGATGTTTATAAAATTATGAGAAGAAAATTATTCATTTCTGATCAAAATTACTTTGTGCAGTCATCATTATAGAATACGCGTAACAGCAATACTCAATAAGTAGCGCCATCTATTTTGAACTATGTGGCGACAAGACAGTTCGATACGTCACTATAATGAGCACTCCTCATTTTGTATATAATTTTTGCGTTTTTAGCTCGATCCAACACGATATTTAAGAAAAAAAACTTCTTTCTCGTTTTTCTCAAAATTGATTTTTGTGCTGACGAGCGGTCTCCAAACAAATTTTTCTCAAATACAGTTCGTTATAGAGAGCTGCGGTTTTTTTGTTTTTTTATGGCAAGTGATGCTCCTTCAGAGGAGAGGAAGAAACTTTTTAAATAGACTCTACTTCTATGGAAAGCCTCATCTTTCTGGAAAACCTCTGATGGCTTTTCAAGGTTTTAGAGATTTCAACACCTCTTTAACTTAAAAGAGAACAGCAATACAAAAATCCCTTTTCCTCATCCGAAAGGGTAAGCATTTCTCTTTCCAATGAAATGATCCCCAGTTCTATACCTTAGAGTATAGTGAAAAAACGTTTTTATGGGCAGTGGATCCATTTTGAGCCTTGATCTCCAGAAAATTTCTGGACGATGCGATTTGAAGAAGTAAAACAAATTTCATAAGTTTACTTTCATGGGACGAACATTTTTGAAAAGTTTCAGGATCATTCAACGCACAGTATCAAAAATCGATTTTGAAGATGAGGCAGCCTGAAAAGAAATAGCATGGTAGCAAGTAAGAAAAATAATGACAATTTCATTAGATACAACTCATTGATTTGAATTAAAATGGATATTTGAAATCGATTGAATAACCCACACATTATAATCTTATCAAAAAATAATTAGCACAGAATTGATTTGATACAAACGACAAATATTCAATGATGAAAATAAAATAAATCGAGTATATTTTCACTCTCATTAATAAGAAAACATACAACAGATAACTAAATTCATTTTTTAAAAAGGACTTATGTTTGCCAAAAACTTATTGTATATAAAAATTTTAATTCATGTGATTTTTTTGTCAACATTAATTGCTGGTTCTTGTTGCTGGCTTGCTGTTACGTATCATCTATTGAAAAGAAGATCCTGTTTTGAAAAAAAATCGGAAACTTATATAATATATAAGAAAGAATCAAATGACATAATTATTAGTTCTCTTCAAAATAAAATAAATAATGGTAAAAAAAATATGTAAATTTTATTAATTGCTTCAGACATCTTTGTTTAAAACCAAGATCATGCTAATATTCAATGAAAAACATTGCCAAAATTAATGTCTATAAGATAAAAACATCAAGATTATATAGAAAGCGATAATTTTCAACTCTTCAAAAACTATACGAGAATTTTCTAAGATTATTGGCTATTGTGATGAACATTAAATTTGTAAAACTTTAGCAATCAATCGAATAACTTTGAATAATGTTCTCAAAGGTGTTTTAGTAAGAATAAACATATAATTCGTGAATACTACTTAGTACAAGAAATGTTTCCTTTTTTAAAGTACACTGAAAATCATGAACAATATCACCTATATATACAACAGCTGTAATATTTTTATCTTAAATACAGTATGTATCAATTTAGCAATATCAAACTTAATTCTCATTCTCTCGAAATCTTTAATAAAAAAACAAACAAACTAATTAATCGAATTACTGGTTGATCATATCAAATGCCACTATGCAATTTCAACATCTTCCTATTCTATGATAAAGACAATAGTTGAAGCATTAAATATACTCCTAAGATTTAGACGTCGCAAATTTTCTCGTTTCTCGCTCTGATCAACAACAGTTTCTTTGAATTTTCTATTTCGATTGATACTATTTATACGCACGAATACTATTCATAATCAATAGAAGAGCTTTATTAATCAAACGAAAATAATAAATTATATAAGTTTTCTTTTAAACTCAACGATAGCCGTGTAATTGAAATGAATCATCATCAAGAAAACTCGTGCACTGGCACGTGCAGATCAAGTTTATTGGGCTAAGAAAATATATTTAAGTTTTCAAATACAATATAAGGAAGGGATCTAATTTGACTATCAAAAGAAAAAAGATTAATGTCTCATTAAAATTCAACTTTACTTTAAAAGTACACAAGATGGCGCTGATCAACTGAAGTTAGTGTATATATAATTCGACTGGCACCTGTCAAATACCGCTTGATATACAGTTAATATTCATGACAAGTTATCTAAGTAAATCAATGAACAATTGTCTTTGAAATCAAACATATTTCAGTACTTCTTTCAAAAATACTCCTCCAGTACTTCTCGACATTCTATATTCGGGCAAAAAATGTTTGTTTAACTAATCGTAGATAAACATTTCAAATCTTGTTATTTTCCTACCTCTAGCCCTTTCGTAATCGACACACTCTCTTTTTAGGTTAAAATATGATGATAGTTCAAAAATATATCTATCATTTCTTGTTCAAGTATTAATTTATATTAAAATAAATGTGGAAACCTCGGATTTAAATCCGAGAGTTATGTGTACTTCAAAAAGCGAATTAGACAGATGAGTCATCCTAGAATGTGTGGATATCAAAATTATCCTCGCAAACCTTTTCCATAAACACATGAATTCTATTGGCTACTGCTCAACCAATAGGATTTAGGGGCGAATGCAGCTCAGATTTGAACTCTTTGCATTGAATTACCCTAAGAAAGTCGTTTCTCCCATAACTTGATTTCTATTGGTCCCTGCTCAACCAATGGTATTTTGAGGCAAGTGGAGTACAGATTCGAGTTCTCCATCCCAGAAAACCTCGAACTATTATCTCTGTGATCGGAAGATAGAGCTCTAATTGTGGATCAATTAGAGCGTGGACAAAAACAGAACCGAATTCCGTTTAATTATCTTTGCAATGGCTGAGTTGGCTTTCTTGTTTCCTTATGTTTTATATACCATTTTGTAGCTCGTGAAATTCTCTATCGAATGGTATATAATAGTTGGGGTTTTATTTGACTATGATAGGAAAAGTTTTTTACGAAAGCGGAGATAGATCGATCTTCGCATAGGAAAAAATGACTATTTTTGCCATAACTCAGCAATGGCTCGGTCAATCATTCTCATCTTCGAACTCGACCGAGATACTGTTGAGACTAAACTATGTAGAAAATTTCATCGCGATCGAACTCTCCTTTCAAAAGTTATCGTGTAAACGGCCGGACGGACACACTGACCGATTCTATAGTGTACTCACTTTTTGAGTACACAAAAACAGGAAACTTCCAAGTTATTACAGATTTTTCTTAAGGATTGATGCATACCTGAAAAATAAATTACAATAATTCTTGGAAAAATGATAAAGACTAAAGAAAACAGTTTTCTTTTTTTAATATGAGATATACATTTAATAATAATTAATATTAACATATCACAACTGTTTATAGCAAATTGTGACTAGATCCTAGCATAGAATTTAATTTTGAACAAAATCTTTTATATAAGAGTTCCGCCTTATATGTATCATTTTATTATAATCTGCTGTTAAGAAACGAAAATATAAGTAGCGTAAAATCATTTTGTTTTATGTTAGTTAATCGTTTCTCAGTAACCCGAAGGATTAAGTAAAACATGAACAGGTGTATAGTTTGTTTAAATCTTGTTTATGTTTGACTTTCATTACTTGCCGACGTCAACTGTTGTCTTGAAGAAGTAATGACGTATAATTAGTATTTTTTATCGGACATTGCAGATGAAGTAAAATGAAACTGTTCTATTATGAACATAAATTAATGGTCAAACCAATTCTTTTTAATACCATATATATACGTATATAAAATTGATCACATCGAATGCTTTTTTTCTTCGTTGCTTTTAGGCTATTTAATTAAATATTTATCTTTATCTTTTTTTTTCCTTTTCATTTTTTCTGTGCACTGAGAAAAAGTAGAAATTAATTATTAAAACACACCTGCTCACAAGGACGTTTTATTCTGTTTCATTTTTTCTTATTTATATATATGTTTTTTTTTAAATTAAATCAAAACGAAGATTAACATGATTCATACATTAATAATCGATTGAATTAGAAGACACATTTTTTTTCTCGTATTTTATAGAAATTATTTATCGACATTTACTGTGAATGAATAAATGAATAAAATGCATTGTGCTGATTCACTGAGAAAAACACCATAAGGAATACAAAGCATTCTTCTACTTTCGAGAATATTCTGTTTTTTTTTTTTTCTTAAATAATTTCTTAATCATAGATTCAGTACGAATATTTATGGATGAAGAATATACAATAAAGATGCTATCAAAATCACGTTCAAATAATTCACAACGAAGCTCAGAAAATTTGATAAATGAATATCTAATGTCTGAAAATCCTAGATATCGTCCATATATAACTAATACTAAATATTCTCCAATTGGTTCATCTAATAAACTTAATTTATTACTTCAACGTTCACTTCGCTATTCATATCGACAACGATGTTGTGAATGTTGCCCAACAATACTTTGTGAACTATTATTTCCTCTTATTATAATAGGATTATTAGCATTAATCCGTTATGGAACAAATGCACTTATCAGAGAAATGAATGAAAATCCTGGTTCTATTCCCATAAACTTCGATCATCGTCTATGTTCACAAGATAAGAATACAACAACAACATTATCAAAAGATTTATTTAAAAGATGTTTTAAATTTCCACCAAGTTATCAACGAAATGATTGGACTTCATTCAGTTTAGTTCCTGTATCAAATAGAACGAATATTATATTTCAACCGATGACTAATGAAACTAAAGAACTCGTTATACTTGCCGAAAAACATTTGATAGCAATGAATTGTAGTAATACTAATATATGGTGCGTTAAACATCATTTATCAATCATAAGAAAAAGAAAATTTTGTTTTTTATTCAAAGGAGTCAAAATATAAATGATGGCAATGATACTCATTTATTACAAGATGAACAAGAAAACACAATTATTATTGATTTTGGTTCACCATTAAATCTTAAAATTGAACATAATCTTGATTGGAAGTATTGAAAGAATTGATGGATCAAAATTCAATAATGATTATTGTTCATTTTCTTTTTAGATAACATAATTGTTCGAATGTCGAATACATTTACAAAAAATGCACCAGTTGATATGTCATTTGTATCATTTTCACATCCAAGTATGTCGAATATAATTTTTATTTTATTGGACAATATACAATGTTCATTGTTTAGCTTTGATTGCCGATCGTTCAAATGTAATGGATAGTAATAATAAAGAAGGTTCGGAATTACCTGAATTTACTGATATAAAAATATTTATTGATTCATTACTTATTGGCTACCAGACAAATAAAACAATTGAATTCGAAATCGAAAGAAATCCTATGATTTGTACACCAATTCGTAGAGATTCTATTTTCGGTACGTAGAAATTAATATTAATTTTTTATTGCATCATGCATCACTTCATTCGAGTTCAAACATAAATGAAACTTTGAAAACTAGATGCTACTTCGAAAGTGAATTATAATTCAAGTAAGGTATCAGTTACACTGAAACATGTTTTTGCCTGTGTAATTAAGCTTTTATTTCAATGTCGCGACGGAAGACGGTGAAGCTCATGAGAGAGCTGCGCGATCAATGTTTGCCTCCGTGTACATAGTGGAGTCTATTTTCAGTTTAACACGTTACAAAAAAAAATTTAACTACGTAAATAAATGCTCAATTGAATACTGGAAATTGACTCGAATAAATTGTTGAGTTTATCATTATTAACCTCGAAAATTCTAGTTTTCTTCTATTTTGAGACTCTAAAGGTTTTCGAAAATTTTTATTTATGTTCGTAATTGAAAATGACTGCTGTTCATGACAGTAGAGTGTTAACAGAAATTTCAGACATATTATTGTGGTTCATATGAAATCTTAGTTTTGATTTTGGCTACACAGGTGTCGATGAAATTTTAACTTACTTTTGAACTTGATGGAATATATTTTGTTTTTTCTATTTTTATTTTCTGTTAAGAATCTGGATCGATACTTCCTACAACAATTTTGATAATGATTGATTTTATCTTTCTTATTCCGTAAGCAAAACAGTATGAAATCAATAAAATTATTTCGTTCTTTTATTAATTAGATATGTAATTCTTCTCATCAGTTTAATTCAAGAAAAAAATGCTAAAGTTAAAGAAATTCTTAAAGTACTTGGAATCGAACCTATTTTAAATAATTTTGCTCATGCAATTAGGTAAAATGATAGATATTATTCTTGTAGTAGAAAGTCAGTGCATTTAATTTAATATTTCTTTTTTTTTTTTTAGAACATTGATTATTCTTTGTCTTTTAATTCTACTCTTATGCATTGTATATAAATTAAAATTAAAACCAGATGCATATTTCAATTCAGTTAATTTTCGTATTCTCTTTTTTGCTTATTTTATATTTGGCTTACAATTAATATCATTTTGTATCATGAATGTACAGTTATTTGATAAAAATGTTCGTGCAATACTGGGTACATTTGTAATTTACCTGATATCATTAATTACTTTTGCATATAATATTGTATGGCCGGTGGCTATACAATACGTATTAATATTTTTTAGTCCTTATATTGCTGGTCATTCAATATTTCAAGTGAGATGTTCTTTTTAATTTTATGATAAATGAAATGAGATATTGTTTTTTTTTTCTTCTAGCAATTAATTTTACATGATTTAGCAAAAAAAGATGTAGCGTTATTTCGAACGATTTATCGTAATGTACCAATATATTTTCCAACATTGATCATTATGATTATTAGCTGTGTTTTTTATTGGATGTTGTCTTGGTATTTAGAAAAGGTATTTCCAGGTAAACTATTACAAAAACAGTTCTGAGCTATTTAGACTCATATCATTTTTGAAATATAGTCATCTAAGCATTGTTTGTAATTGTCTTACTGGTGCAGATTTGACAGAACTAATTTTATACTGAGAACTTTAGGTTAACTCCTGAACCGAACATAACCGGTCACTGCATTTCTAACAGAATTACGCAAGTAGAAAAAAAAAACACAATGAGTATATAGCATAAATGTTACAAAAACATATACATACAATGTTTGATTAATTTTCCAACTGATTTTATTATAAACTAATAAGACAAAAACCTGTAAAGTCATATCATTATCTACTCGTCGTCTGTAAAAAGAGATAAGATTATGATTATCATCGTGATAATATGACATGATGTTTTATGTTAAAGTATAGTGTAAATGACATTACATATCTTGCTGAAGAATTATGACCTTCTGTAAATATCTATTGGAATTGTCTCATCCATCGAATAGGTTTGCTTTATGACTGAGCAAATATTTTCTTTCTAATTTAAACTGAGACATTTTTAGCTAATCAGTTCATAATTTGAAATGAATACCGTATGTCATGCAGATTTTTATCATGCAAACAAGCGTTAGATTTTGAGAAATTTTATTAGAAAGAACATACTTTATAATGACGAATATATATTTTCTTCAACATTCAAGTCTTATCGTCGATTATTTTCCCATTTGATATTAAACTCAAATAATTTTCTTGAATTTGTTAATATTATGAATCGAAAATCTTCATAAGAATTTTAATTTCACTGCTTTGATCCAATAATATCATAATATAAATATATAGAAAAATTTTATCTATCAAAAACAATCATACTTTCATAAGACCATTTATCGAGAACGTCTTACTGACAGCTCGTAGTTTGATGAATCGATAGATTCGAATCATAACTGTTCATTTTCTTTTTTTTTCCTATGATTTAAATCTACTGACCCATACATACCTGCACATTTTTATATTTGTCGTTTGAGCTCATATTGAACTAGTTTTATTGATTTTTCGACCTAGTCTTAGGTATATACCGAGAAATCAACAAGAATTTTTCGATACGAAATTTTGCTCATAAGTAAGTCGTACGACTCGTAGAATCTCCTGAAAATGTCAGCTGAAAAACAATTCGTTTTCTTGAAATTCGATATCTCAATAAAAGAACATTTTTTTAATTTTCTGACGCATATCCAAAGCTGTAAAACGACGGTAACGTGACACAAAAAGTCTATGGAGATGAACTTTTTTAGAATTTTTTCACTCTCACCAAACCATTATTTTAAGTACAGTATGAACTCGAACCACAAATATCAATTCCACTAGTTTCTTATAGCTTTGTCTATGTAAAATTTTTCATGAAAAATTTTAGGTGAATATGGTATTCCACTTGAGTGGAATTTTCTATTCAAACGAGACTATTGGTGTTCGGAAAGTATTGATCGTCATACTTATTCTTTTTCTAATTCTAATTCATCGCATTCAAACGCAAATTCTAATGAAAAATCGATTGTACATGTTAATCATCTTGTTAAAAGATTTGGTCCTGATAAAATAGCAGTTAATGATGTTTCATTTGATTTATACGAAAATCAAATAACATCATTACTTGGTCCAAATGGTTCTGGTAAAACAACAATATTTAATTGTTTAATTGGAATATATAAACAAACATCGGGTACAATAAAAATCGAAAATAATGACGGAATTGAATATGATACTCGAACGAATATTGATATGTTAAGAAAATCAATGGGTTATTGTCCTCAACATGATATTCTTTTTGATTTATTAACTATACAAGAACAACTAGAATTTTATGCAACAGCTCGAGGTTTTGGAAAAAACAAAGAACGAATAGCAAAGGAAATGCTTGATTTAGTTAGTCTTCAATCTTCAAAAGATCTTTATTGTAATTCATTATCCGGTGGAATGAAAAGACGTTTATCGTTAGCTTGTGCATTTGTTGGAGATACAAAAATAGTTCTTCTTGATGAAGTAAATATAAAATAATTTGACTTTTGTTGTTTTTTTTCTTTTTTTTATTGAAATTTATTTTTTAGCCATCAAGTGGACTTGATCCATCGAATCGTCGTTTATTATGGGATTGGTTACGTTCAATGAAAGAAGGTAAAACAATATTATTAACAACACATTTTATGGAAGAAAGTGATGCATTATCGGATCGTATTATGATTATTGCTAATGGAAACATTAAAGCTGATGGAACATCAGCTAAATTAAAACAACAATATGGATCAGGTAGAACACAAAAAATATATATATATTTTTTCATTAAAGATAAATAATTAATTCTAGGTTATAAATTTGTTATTAATAAACAAAAGAATTATCATACAAATGATATTAAAAATGAATTACATCAGTATTTACCAAACTTAAAAGTTGAAACAGATATATCTGATGGTGATGTCGTTTTTCGAACAAATCAACAACCAAATAAACAATTTCTACAAGCATTATATCAACTTGAACAAATGAAAAAAGAAAATCGAATTAAAAATTATGGAGTTCAAAATAGTACTATGGATGATGTATTTTTAAAAATAACACATGATACAAAAATTGATAATCCATCGAATTCAACATCAATCAATATCGAAACAATCGGTGTGTAACGAAATTTTATTTATCGAATAATAGACACTCTTTCGAGTCACTATCAT